TCATTTAAAAAACTTGTTTACGAACTACAAATATGTGAAACATGGATTTGTTTCTGTGGCTAATGAGAAATCGTGTGAAGTTGTTGGTCTTGGTGATATTTGCTTGAGATTCGATTCTGGTTATGTGTAAACCTTGAAGAATGTGAGGCATGTCCCTGATTTGTGCCATAATTTGATATCATGTGCTGCTTTAGAAGATGATGGTTTAGAGGGTATATGGGAAAATGGTGTTATGAAAATTTTGAAGGGTTCTTTGGTGATCTTCAAAGCTGTTAAAAAGTTGAACTTGTATGTTTGCATTGTTGAATCTTGTATGCAAAACCCTGTGAATGATGTCTTTGGTGACAAAACTAATTTTTGGCATAAGCGTTTAGGTCACATGAGTTCTAGGGGTCTTGAGATTTTGCATATAAATGGCTCTTTTGGATGTGACAAATTGTCTTGTGTGTCATTTTGTGATTCATGTGTGCTTGGCAAACAATCACGAGTGTGTTTTCCTGTTTCTTCTGTGACAAGACAACCTGCTTCTTCTGAATTACTTGAGTATGTGCATGCTGATATTTGGGGTCCGACTAGTGTGCCAACTCATGGTGGAAATCGATATTTTTTTTTTCTGTGATTGATGACTTTTCGAGAAATGTTTGGGTGCTTTTATTGAAAAACAAAACTGATGTGTTTGAGATGTACAAAAACTGGAAAACCCTAATTGAGAATCAAAACAGGCAAGAAAATTCGAGTTTTGAGGATCGATAGCGGTATTGATTTTTGCTACAAATTGTTTGATAATTTGTGTGCTAAGTCTAGTATTTAAAGACATAGAATTGTGTCTTACACGCTTCAGCAGAATGGTGTCGCTGAGCGTATGAATAAAACTTTGCTTGAAAGAGTGAAATGTATGCTTACATGTTCTGGGCTTTCTAAGAAGTTTTGGGGTAAGTTATTTTGACTGCGTGTCATGTGATTAATTGTTCTCCTTCTGTGTCTTTGAATGGTAAATGTCCAGAATTTGTGTGGTCTGGTACTCAAATTGATTATTCGAACTTTAGAGTATTTAGTTGTTCCAGTTCTGTTAATCAGAAAGATGATAACCTTGAACCGCAGCATGTGAAATGTGTTTTTCTTGGCTATCATGATGGGGTAAATGGTTATCGGTTGTAGTTAAGGGGAGAACCTGGCTTTAAGGTGTGTTAATTAGTCCGGGTGTGATTTTCAATGAGTTTGAATTTCCTTGTGTATCCACTCCTTTACCTGTTTCTGAACCTGTTGTTGCTCCGAGCAAGATGGAGCTTATACCTGGTTCGTGTCTTTTGTATGATGTGCAGAATGTGCCTATTATGCCTGATGAGAACACTATTTCTGACAATCTATCTATACATGTGCTTGATAATCATGTTGATGATGTTGCAGTGCATGAGGAAATTGTTAAAAATTTGCCTAAATTTGATCTTTGGGATTTGCATGACTATCATTCGGCTAGAGATAGATCTAGAAGAGATGGGCTCAATATGCTTCTAAACATGACAATTCTGTGCAATAGATGAATATTGAGGAAAATAAAATGAAGTCCTTGCATGTGAATAATATGTGGTCTTATGTTGGTAACCTAAGAAAGTGTTTCTTAGTGGATCTAAATGGATGTCATGTTGCTTGAAAATTTTGATCTTTGATACGTGTGATTGATATGTGTTATGTGAATTTTGTGTGAGGTAGCCGACTTTGTGTCTGATACATGTTTGCTCTAACTTTATGTTTGAGTGCAGGTACGGTAGGTAAGGCGTTGATGACCCCTGTCAATCCGAGTCTTGTGAACCGACTTTGGGCCAAGGTGGAGATTGTTGGTATTTGTGGCCCAAAGGACATGTTTATTGATGGACCAAATATTCAAATTCTCTAGCCCAATCTCTTTGGCTTGAGCCCAGCTTTGGCAGCCCACATGATCTGACAGATCTAGACCGTTCGTACATAATTGACCCGATCTTGACCGTCTATTTTCTTTTGTTTTAATTACCTGTTACCCTAAGTAATTCTCCTAACATTAGCAGCCATTAGAATAGCCGTAAGAGTTTGAGACTCCCATGTAGCTATCTCCCTTTAACAGACTTGAGAAGTTTCAGCCACTTTGAAAAAATTGAATAGCTACTTCTACGCAGCTTTTAAAAAACCCCATCCCATATTTTGTTCACTCACTAGTGCCCTCTCTCTTCTTGTTTTTTGCTCTGTGTCTTATGATTCGATCTCTCTTATCTTATTGAATCTTTGTGATTATGAGATTGTGAGTGTGAGAGAGTCTTCAGTGTGTGAGCCGAGTGTGTGAGCTGAGTTAGGTTGTGAGGGAATTTTGGGGGTTTCAGGTAAGGGCTGTTTTTCGGGCTGAGCTTTGTACGACGGCCGGTGGTGTTACCACTGGGCTTCTAGTGCCAGAATTATTGAGGCCAAGGGTCCATTGATCGGTTCTTTGTCAGCTAGTCGGTGACTCATTTGTGGGTTTGACATAAGGGGACTGAGCTTGCTTCATTTCAACCCACCATCGTGGAATTAGTGGGATTCGGGCCTCATTCAAGCACTCGGCAAAAGGGTGTACTCGTTTCTATTTTACATTATTTATTTTTCAGCATTTTCAATTTGTTTAAGCTCTTTGATTGCTGAAATTTGATTGTTTATTGTTAATTTACAGTTTCGGCTTAAACCGGACAAATCGAGACGAGTTTGGGACCGAAAGGTTGCAGTTCGGGGCCAATCGGGAGCTGTCCGAGTCCTATTGGGGCTGTCCGAGACCTTCTGGTTGCTATCGGAAGCCTACCGAGTGCTGCCGAGACGAACCAACGACTGTTCGGTATTGTTCGGGGCCAACTCGAGCCCGGCGAGTCTAGCCAGACGACCACCCAACAAATTTCTTTAATATTGCTAAGTAATGTTTTTGTTATGGTGTCAACGGATTACACAATTACTAATTTCAAGAAACTTAAATAAAATAAATAAATATTATTTGGATTAATGTCAAACTAATACGTGTGATTCCACATGACGTTGCTATATTTTACATATTTATAAAAATAGAAGCATGATCTATTACTGCTAGCGGACAGAATATAAGGCTAAAATTTTCATTGACTCGGTGTTGGAGATAGAGAGAATAAAATGGTGGATGACGATCGAGGAAAGAATAATAACGAGAAGACCAATAGGGAGTGTCATTCATGATTTCTGTTTGACAATAGTTCACGGTGAGTTGTATTTTACTCTTTCAGAGCTACCATTATTGATATTATAATAATATTTATCGTTTTATTAAATCTATTACTTTATATACAGTAGGACTAAAGTATATTTGGCTATATTAAATTCCTTTTCACAGGGAGTTGTACTCTGTTTTTTGTTTTTTAGAGTTGTACTATGTTGATGGACGATAAAGTTTATTCACAATTAATCTTTACTAGTACATTATCCGTGTATTACACTGGTGTTGAATTAGAAAGATTTTATAAAAAATATTAAATTTTTTATTTTTTTAAAAACTAAAATAATTTAATTTTATATAAAACATTACTTTGAATTTTAATTAAATTATCAAATTATATTTTTTAATCATAATAATTAAACACCCGTACATTAAATGAAAATGTCAACCTGTGTTGAATTTTTTTACTTATATCATATAAAAATATCGATATTATTTAATATTACATAAGTTTAAAAATATATATCTTAAATAAATAGAAATAATATGGTGATATGTATATGCATAAGTGTAGAATATGTTTATTTAATATTAAGCAAAATAGATCAATTTTTTTTACTTAATTAGATGTCTAATACATCAAGTGTCGTATCAGTCGTGTTTCACAGTTTTTAACTTTATATGTAATTTTAGAATTTATATAAATAATTATTTATTTTTATTACATTGACAACATACCAATTAGATTTGAAATAAATATTATTTTTAAAAGAATACATACCAATTTCTATTACTTTATAATATAATTTATAGTTTTATTTAATATAATTTAATTTAGTTTAATAAATAAATTAAAATTTTATTTATAAGGATATTTTTTTTTCCTGAAACGATAGAAATTTTATATATAAATAACACAAATGTACATGAACACAACCATATTTGCAATTCAATGGTTATAATATGAAATAATATTAAAATATAATTAATACAAATATTAATTTATATTCAAGATTAACTCCAAAGCATGATTTTTTGCCAAATAGGATTCCGAAGCATGAAAATTTGCCACGTAGGCTCAGCGCATTTTGAAATTATATATAGAGGAGTACATGAATTTAATTTCATTTAAAATTGATTAAAGTAAAAATTCAATCATTATTCTAATGGTTTGCATCATATTTTACAACATACAAGGTAGCTTTTTCATTATATTAAATTTTTAATGCCGAAATATAATGTACTTATATTATTGTACACAATGAATCTATTAATATATAAAGAGTGAATGATAGTTGTTTGAAAAAATCAACTAAAAAATCAGCAAAAAAAAAATTCAATTCCCGCCTAAAGTTTACTATAATGAGCAAGATTTTTGGCAAAAAATTGGATAAGTCCGCCTAGTATACAATTCGAAATTTTTGGTAGCTTTTTTTATAGACTTATTTATCACTTAAAGATTTAGTCAGATTTTTATGCCAAATATTTGTAGATATCTTAATATAATATATTTCATGAGAGCCGAATTTTTTGGGGCAGACGGTTATTCTATTAATCACTGTGTGATTGCGCATCTTTGAGATAACCTGCCCTTTCCAATTGATGCCATTGCCGACATGAAAACCTTCTCCTGTGACCACCTGATTAGAGATTCGAAGTACCAATAGATTCCGAATAAGTGCCGAGACGGCTTGAACAAACAGACGTCGGATGCGAGCTGGTCGGAATTGTGTGCGGGCTGTTGGAGATGGATGAACTCGCCATGGCTGAAACCTGGAAGCTGTCGGAGAAGACGATCGGAGTTTCTGAGCGTCAGATATGGATGGACCTGAATGTACGCCGGCGGGAGGACCGATTGCGCACGAAGAGTCTGGGCGGAGGGATGGCTACTGGTAACGGCTGGACACGACGGGGTGCTGTACTCCGACGTGTGAAGCTTGGTTGGCCGGGGATAAAAAACTCTCCACGACGTTGAAGCTGCGTGAATTTGCTGTAGAAGAAAATCAGAACTCCATGCCCACAGTTGAGCAAAGCTACGCGAGAGAAAACGGTGGGACTCAAGGGTGCTGTTCAGTTTTTTCGGCTGAATTTTTGGGAAGATTTTGCACGCTAGAATTTTGGGAAGCTTTTCGGGAAGAAATCGGTTAGAATTATTTGGAGGAAAACTAACAAATTGTGGAACCTAACGGAGTTTAACCGAGAAAAAAATCCCTCTCTTTAATCCTTTCTCTCTCTAGAAATTTGTCAATTCTAAATTCTAATGGCGGTTTCAAAGGCTTTCTCTCTTCTGATGGTAGCAGCGGCTCAGTCTCCTTCCATAGCTCCGGTGCCGTCATCAGTGGTCAGATCACCGTCTACGTCGCCAGTGCCGCCGAGGGGCGCTCGGTCCCCGGCTCCGACGTCAACCGCTACGCCGCTTTCGGCACCGGCAACTCCCTCTCCCACGCCGGCGGACGCGCTTTCGCCGCAGTCTCCTCCGCCGGCGGCATCTTCCCCGTCCCCGTCCGTCGCCTCGCCACCGTCGGACATCGCACCAGCTCCCCGCCCCAACGGCGGCGTCGTAAACAGGGTGGGGCTCGCGGCCATCGCCGCCGGATTTCTGGCGGTCTCTATGGTTGCGTAAATAGTTGGGGAGTGGTGGCCGCCGGCGTACCTTTTAGTCTAGATCGACTTTTCGCCTTTGTTTATTTGTTGTTGTTTATTTTCATTTTTTTTCTATTTTCTGGATTTTACATCGGGATATTTATATTACTTATTTAGTAGGCAGAATTTTATTCTCGGGATTAATTATTTCTTCTCTGGAATTTAGATTGATGATTTTGGTGTTTAGTTATTTTATTATTAGTAGTTGTGTTCTGGAATTTGTTGTGTTGAATGTTGATTTTAATTTAGTTATAAGAAAATTATTCTTATTAAAAAAAAATAAACTAACAAATTGTGGAATGTGACGTGGCATTTTTTGATTGCTTGAGTTTTTTCCCAAGTTGAGACGGGGTAGGAAATTACAGTTCAGTATGGATTTGTACTATCAGTTTCTTGTGTGTCTTGAATTGTTATTTAATGGTCACAATAATTAGAATTATTTATTTATTTCTATTTTTATTACAATAATGATCTAATATGCCTAATATTTATTAATAGAATGTGTATATTAGTTTTTTCAAGTGTAAGATAAGTAATTTATTGCTATTTGTATTATATATAATTAATTACGGTCAAAATTCAAAAAATTATGACTCCGTTTTGGATTTTTTTTCATTATTTTTTGTAAATTAACAATGGTAATTGGTTAATTGACTTAAAAAAATCAAAAGCAATATTTTGATTTAATATCTTCATCATAAAATTCAATACACTAATTAGAAGTCTTATGTCATAAAATTCACCAATAATACTATCTAATTACTCATAGACTCCATACATATTATCTTTTGGAAAATCCCTACTACACGATCGTATGTCAAAATTTGTTAACTTTTTCGAAAAATCACACAGTAAATGGTTGTCGAAATTTATCAAACTACAACACTTTTTTTATAGAATGGATGAAATTATTCAAAGTTTTCCAAAAAGTCACACCGTCAATTGAGTGTCCATATTTGTCTAACTCAGTCCTTCTTAAAGTGTGGAAATAATCCAAATTTATATGATTTATTTAATTTTTTCTTTTTGTTAGATAAGGAATTTCAGAAAATTCCGACTACATAAATTTTCTATCATAAAATTCACCGATACTATTGTTTAATTACTATTTTTTCCTTTTTATGCTTAATATATTTAATATTTTCATAAAATATTTTTTCTTTTTATGCTTAATATATTTAATATTTTCATAAAATAATATATATATATATATATATATGATTTTATTTTTTGTTATTATGAGATAGGATGAATTATAAAAGCTGAAAATTATCCATATATGGCACAATATTTTCTCAAAGATAATATATTGAAAAAAATAAAAATATTTTTATTTAAATTTAAAAATAAAATATAATTATTCATAACTTATGGGTCAATATTAACTTGGACGTAAACGAGATAGTCAATTATTTATAGTTTAATAAATTACTCAACTACTTAATTTTTTTTATTTGAATAGTTTATACAATAATAAATTATAAGTAATGAAACAATATAAATTTTATATTTATACTTATTATTCACATAGGTTGTTAAATATATGATAACAATTTACCAAAATAACTATTTTATGAAATCACATATAGTCAAATCGATTTTCCGAATAAAATTTTTGAAATGATACTTATCTTGAAACGAATATAATGTAATTTATTATCAGTTATGTGCACCGCACGAGTTGTATACTAATTTTAAATATTTATTTTTATGTAATTTCGCACAATTTCAACTTTATATAACATTTTCAATAAATTAATATAGGTAAATTGTATTACATATTGATTATATATTTTTAATTTATAAATACTATTTAATAAGAATTTTTAATTTATAAATATTAATGAATATCTCTTATTCGTGCACTGCACGGGACTCATAGTAGTATTTTCAAAATTAACGAGATCTGGATGAAAAACATTTTCCGAAAGATTGAGATTAAATTACAAACAAATTAAGGATTGAGATTTGGTTTGCACCTAATTCTCTCGATTGAGAGGGTGATTTCCTATCTAAGGTTTTTCATTCGCTTCTGTAAAGGCTTAATTCCACTTACTTGGGGGTTATTGCGGTGGGTTGATGCAATAATTGGGACGACTGCTTTCGGAATCCAACGATGGGTTCGTGCTCGCGCAAAGAAGGGCAAGGCGTAGAGGAGGAAATGACAAAGGATGGAGAATTTCTCGTTACGGGAAAAGAGACGGGCATGATTGATATAGAGAATACAGACATCAAGGCGAGTGCAGAGGAATGTAGAAGGAGCTTGATGGGTAAAGTGGTCGGCAGTAGGAGAGCTCCGCTCTTCGAACTGAGGAGAGCCATGACAACCATCTGGCGAATCCAAAAAACCGTGGAGGTAAGAGAACTCAGGCCAACTATTTTCAGTTCATTTTTGAAAGCCGAGAAGATATGCAGAAGGTTATGTCGGGTACAAACTGGATTTTGAAAATCAATACCTGATATTGAGAGAATGGAATAAGGGGTTGTGTGAGGATGATGAATGTTTTACTGAGTTAAATGTTTGGGTGCAGATACATAATGTTCCTTTGGACTGGGTGAGTCCGGAGGTAGGCTGGAAAGTGGGTAGAGTATTCAAAAGTGTAGAGAATGTAGGAATAGTGAATGTAGGGGGCAATGGTGGTAGATCAATTCGGTTACTGGTGACACTTGACATAAATGAACCACTACCTAGGTGCACATCAATTAGATTGGGGGAACAAGTCATAATGGTTACATTTAAGTATGAGAAGTTGGAAAACCTGTGCTATTATTGCAGGAAGATAGGCCATCTTGACCTAGATTGTGCCATCAGATTGAGAGATATAAAGGAGGGGGGATTAAAGGAAGCACGGTTTTGGGAATGAATGAAGACCAATGAGTTCAGAGTGGGAGTACTTCAGAAAACTAGAGCAGATCAGCTGATAAAGACTAAGGTGGAGCAGAGTTACCAAACAGACAAGCATCATTGGAAGAGTTAGTGCTGAGAATTACTCACAAGAGGGGAGGTGATGGGGACAATGAGGCCAATCCTGGTGTCAAAACTCAAAGAAAACTTAGTCTGGTAGATTCAACCTCTCCTAAAAAGGACTTCATACATTCTAGTAAACTAAGTACCAGTCAGGGATTGCATGAGGATGAACAGGGATACGACAGCCTCTCAAATCCCAAGGAAGCTCCAATCATAGAAGTAAAGATGGAGGCTGAGACAGAAATGGCTCGAGACCATAACTCAGGCCAGATAAAGGAAGTACAAAAAACCTAGAAAAGACTAACAACAAAAGAAGGGAGATTGCAGAGAAAGTCAATGACAAACACTGAATTGGTAAGCACGACCAAAAAGAGAGGAAGGATCAACTTAGAGCCTCAGACAATAGATGAGAGTAAGGATATGAGAGAAGATTTAACTTTGGAAAAGCT